ACCATGCGAATCACTAAGATGTCCACTTCTGCACTTTTCGCAGTCTCAATATTCTCTAGGTTCATCACTTTTCGTGTACTGAAGCGTTTGGCATCAATCCCGTTGTCTGTCTTCTCTCGCAGGTATGTGTCCCATGGGCAGACGTAATCCGCGCTAGTGTCATGAAGCCGGGAACTCCGCATCTAGTGATTGTGAACTACACCTCACCGACCAATCGGACTCCAGTTTCCAGCTTCGATTCGAGTGTCGCCAACTTTCGAAGTTGTCGCAATCCTGAGGGTCGAATGGCTAAGCCATGGTGCTACGTGTCCGCAGTTTCATTTACGGGCAATTCATTGAACTCATACCTCACCACGGTGGGATATCGCAAAGCGCCATGCAAAGTGGACATGTGTGGTAGGCAACTTGGATCCATTAATGCTTTCAGTATATCTCAAATATTGACTTTATCGCCATTCACTTCATTAATCTCAACCTTCTATCCAGCCATGTCAACAGTTTTGCCTTTTTTTAGAAGGCGTGAATTAGGGCAGCAATTCGTATCAACATTCACACGTTTCCCAGTACGTGCACACAAATTTTTGGGGTTGCAGATAAAAGCGCAGCTTTTTTGTGTTTTTCTCTCGTTCCACAATTTTAACTAGTAATGAGGTGTGGTGCCGTTGGCTCGAGAACATGCTCTTAACTCGACTGGCTGAAGCGTTTTGTTTCGACTGTTTACATCTGACGGACGCCTTTGGGCATATACAACCCTTCAAAACACGGCTGACAGATTACAGCAAAGTGTCAGAGAGTCTGTTTTTTGTCCACACAAAATTATGCATCTCGGCTTTTTGACCCATCTTCTGATCCATTCTTAGCTTTTGAGGGTGGATGTTTAGTGAACAAATGAGGGCTTTTCACGAGAAAAAAAAGCCCAACAGAAGATAACAAAACACCAAGGAACTAGAATAGCCATTAAAGGCGACTTGAGCAATTGTTGTTCTTTGTTTCGATAGGCATACTAGGTCTGTATTTAGAGCATATTTGGCGGTAGCAACAAGCCTTATATGTTGATCCTTAATCCCAATTGAGAATTCCATTGAATAACTCGTTTCATTTCGTTCCCTTTGTTTTTCTTTGAGATCACTCAAGCCACATGGGACTGCCTCTGGATTTTGGTGACGAGTGTCCATCGGGCTTCCTAACCCAAGTTGGGAAGACTGCATCCCCGCAGGGAGAAATTTCCACAGTTTACTGTGTCCTCTCGGCTAAGGGACTGCGGAACACGGAGAAAGGTCGATTCAAGAATTTCTGCATGTTTTTACTTAATCAGAACCGCGAGACCTGCCCTAAAGGTGAGTCACATTTTTTGACCTATCAGCGTTGGAGGAAACTGGGAAGATGATGGGTGCATCCCTCTGGATGGATTTTAAATGGGAATAAGCTGACGTGGTGTTAAAAGAAAGTGATCCTGCCTTTAGTTCTTCACCTTCCTCCACTCCTAAACCTCCTCCAGACTTTGAAGTTTTAGCCAACTGCATCTTGTAGTCGTTTATTAGTAAGCCATGATCAGGTTACTGTTTGTGGCCGCTGTTCACTTCTAGGCTTCGATATGAAGCGGACTTTCATGCGCACTAAGCTGAAAGCCA